GAATTTTCAATAAGGTTTCGGTTTGTAAACCACGCTTGTAAGATTTCCGCTACGTTTCTTTAAGATTTTAACAAGTGTGATTTTAAGTGTGATTTTAAAGGTTGACTTATCAAGTTGATTATATGAACTGTTAAGTTTTTATATTTGTTCAATGTTTAAAATCTGTTTTATTTATGTCTAACTTAGTTGTTAGATGAAGTTTAAGTAAACAGATTTTTAAAGTAGATAAGTTAGTAGCATCCCGAGTTAAGAAGGTTTCGAAAAATTTATAAGTATTTTCGAAATAAGTTGAGAAAAATTTACTCTGATGAGCGGGGGGTTACACCCTAGCCTTAGGGTGACTCTGCCCTTGTCTATGACTATTATAGATTCATCCTCCATATCGATCCTGGTCCCCAAAACCGATTCATATAGCGCACAAATTCATCGGAAACCTCTTCGAGAGAGTCGATCATTGTCCTATCCTCTTTGCTTATCGAGGCTCCCGACTACGTGTCCTTGGAAAGCATGGTTCTTGTCCCACTCTCTTGTTTGAGCTTGTTCGTTTAATAATATAATGATAGTAATAGTAATTTGATTTGTCAGGTCAGTTCCGATTCGAACCGGTACGTAGGTTCACCAAATTTACATATGTTTGAATCTGAGCTGGGTCAAACCGCGATCAATGATTGAACGAGCCGCTACTTTCTTCCTCCTTATACCTCTCGTTGACCCTCCATATTGTGCGACTTGAAAGACCAATCAATAATTGCAGAAGAAAAAAGATAAAGAAAATGGCGACTTTGGAAATCATGAATCTAACTCGTGTCTGGTCAGTGGCTATGGCGTGCCTCTGCTACTGTCATTTTGTGGCTGCCCGACTGCCCCAGGGCAAGTGGAGGCTCATTTCTCTTTTGCCCGTTTTCCCCATTTTCGCGGCCCTTCCCCTCCACACCACCTCGGCCTTCTTCACGGCTCTCACCGCCTTCTCTATCACCTGGCTCGCCACTTTCAAGCTGCTCCTCTTCGCCTTCGACGCATCCCAGCCGTCGTCGATCACCGCTTTCATCGCCACCGTCGCTCTCCCTTTTAGGGTCAGGCCCAATAACGCCCCATCAAGGCCCCACAAGAAGCTTCCCCTAAATCTCGCCACCGAAATCCCCATCGCCGCCGCCCTAATTTCGATATTATCTAATTACAAGGACAGGATCGGTCCCAATTCTGTGCTCCTCGCGTATTGTTGTCTGGTCTTTCTGATGGTGGACATTGTGGTCGAGATCTCGAGCTTAGCGGGCCGGGCCCTGCTGGGCCTGGAGCTCGAGCCGGCCTCGGACGAACCCTACCTCGCGACCTCGCTCCGCGAGTTTTGGGGCCGGCGGTGGAACCTGACCGTCAACGACGTGCTCCGCCGGACGGTGTACCGGCCAATTAGGTCGGCGGCG